TTAGATGGGTAGACGATCTTAAAAGATCGTAGCTTTGTATGTATAGATCTGAACATATATACTTTTAATTGTTTGTTTCAGCGGGGCGGAGGGAACCGCGGCGGGGGAGGGCGGCTGCAAATGCGGCGACAACTGCAAGTGCGACCCCTGCACTTGCAAATGAGACTGGTGCGGAGCTGATCGAACTCTGTATTCTCTGTTTGTGTGTGTTTATGTATCATCGTTTTAATAAGGCTGTAACAAAGTTTGTGTAGTATTTCTGTATTTGTTGTTAGTAATAATAATGTGAAGTGGATGATGATCTGCGACTGAATGCTCATTTGGGTTGGATCGATGTGGTTGGTTGGTGTTCGGGGTAGAAATGAAGAAGAAAACAGACGTTTGTACCAGCCATTGTCTGATTCCCTCCCTATATACAATCTTATCCTTTGGTTGTTTTCTCAAGTCTTGCGGTTGTTAATTTCAATATTTTATTATTATTTTAGCATTTAAATTTTATTCTTTCTTGCAAAAAAATATCTCAATATTGAAGAATTTTTTTTTAAAAAATATTTACTTATAAATCAAAAAAGGAAAAACAAAAACAAAAAAATGCCACATTTAAAAAAATTTACAAAATAAATAATGACAAAAATATTTTATTTAATTAAATACTCCGTATTAAATGAAAATATATAAATAAGTAAAGATTACGGTGAAAGATAAATCTAGGACGGAGTGACCATATATCTACACCTATGCAATGAAAACAAAAAACAAACAATGAAATGAGAAAATTAAAATTAAAAAACTAGAGAATAAGAAAAGGAGAGATAAAAGCATAAAAAAACACAAACATTGTAAAAGAAAAATAAATAATAGCGATGAATAAAAGAAAAGAATTATACTTTGTATTAAGCGCACTAGCAACAAAACGAAAAAAAAAAGGACAACCAAAAAACAAGGAAAATGAGAAATAAACAAAAATGCGTATAAAAAATAGAAAAAAATGAAAAGAAATATAAAAAGACACTCAAGTTTAAGTAATACAAAATTGAAAAAAGTGAAACCCAAAAAAGCAATGTGAAAAATAGAAAGAGGGCTAAAAAGGAAGAAAGAAGAGAGGTGATGTGAGGAGTGGAAATGAGGTCAAAATTTAGAAAACAAAAATATACTCACTACCTCCCAAATTAAGTTATATATTTATTATTTACATTTTTTTCTATTTTCTTAAATTATTTTAGAAAATAATAGTTATGTCGCCTCTTATTCCGTAGAGTTTTAATTTTGATGTAATTTTGTAATATGCAAAATTTATTTTTTAATTCTACATTAATTATCTAATAAATTTCAAAGAAAATAACTTTGGTCAAAATCTTAAAACGAAAGAGACGATTTAAATTTGAACAATAAAAGAACTAATTATAATTGCTAGACTACTAGATACTGAATTGAGGTATCATTGATAAAAAATTCTTCAAAGTTCACGTCTTTTACGAGAGAACATGAATGAAGTTTAAGTATCAAAATAAAATAATCTTCAAGATTAGGTCCCATTAGTGAAATTTCCCCTATCAAAAAATTTATTTTTTCGTTAATTCTATCCAACTTTCATCTCACATAATAGTACTTGATCATGTTGCATAATTATTAAAAATCAGTAAAGTATAGAAAAAAAGAAAATAAATGATCAAAAATAATTTTTTTTATTTTTTACGAGTATTTTTTTACATATAAAGGATCTGACCGGACTTGGACCGGTCCTAACGGGACCACATGGTCTCAAAAGGTCCTTTTTTTTCATGAAGACCAAACTAGTCTGGACTGGTTTTTAAAAGAGATTGGACCGATCTCGTCCTTAATAGTATCAGTCTTTTTAAGGGACAGATCCGATCTGACTAGTTCGGTCCTTTTGCTCATTTCTACCTAGGCTCTATTCTTTTCGCTTGGAAAAACATAGTTGGGTGCTGGAAGAAACTACTAGAAGAAGTTGGGAGAAATTGGAAGGAGTTAGAAAAACTAGAAGAAAATGGAAGAAACTGGAAGGAGTTGGAAGAAACGAGAAGTAATTGGGAAAAATAGGAAAAAGTTGGAAGAAACGGAAGGAGTTGAGAGAAATAGTTGGAAATTTTTTGAAAGAGTTTAAAAAACAAAAAGTGTTCAAATAATTATTTTATTTTATAAATTTCACATTTTATTTTAAAAAATATACTCTACTTTTTAAAATTTCAATCTCTTTTTGTTTTCTTTTATGCCATTATATTTTATCCCAAATTGTATTTGTAATTTTTTGTGACTCATGCCCTTTCTTTACTTCTCAAAATCAATATCAATCATATAATTTTTTGTTTTTTAATTGTATGCCACTACTCCATTAACAAAGATAAGAAGACAAATGAAACAATACTTTTTACTAATCTTAATTGAAAAAAAAACTGGACTTAGATAATACTCCGTATAAAGATATCTCGATAAAACAAAAATAATCTTACATCACATTGTATATATCAAAATACTCATTCCGTCCTAAAATGATCTTCCAAATTCAGTTTACGATATTTGACTGAAAATATTTTCAATTCAATTTATTTGATTCTAGGTGTAAAATTGAAAAATATAAATTATATATTTTAAAATTACATCAAAAGTTCTGCAAAATAAGGGGTGACATGACTATATGATTTTATCAAATAACTAAAGAAACCAGGGAAAGAAAGTGATTAAACTTTGAATATGTAAATAGTGACTAAGATGATCATTTTAAGATAGGAGTAATTACAAAAATGACCCGAGGCTAACAATGTTAATTTTACATTAGAAATTAACATGATTTATTTTTTATCTAATTATAAAAAATATGCAATTACTAACGGAGTAATGATTACAAAATAGAATACGAAGAACTGTCTAAATAAGAGTAAAAAACTATGAAAATACGAAAATATGAGTCATAAGCTTTTCAAGATCAAAATAGTAGTTCACATCGCCATAGGTACACAGTCACACTCACCACATTGACACACTGTAACTGTGACTGCCATTCAACGCCGCCGGCTACCGCAGTGCCGCTGCAGATCATCGACGGTTGACTGATAACATTGACATATTAAATCGTCACCAATTTTTCATCGCACTGCGAATGCATATTCTTACACGACACTACCACAATACTCCTTTTTTAGTCTTAAAAGACATAAGACTTTTATTTTAATATTTTCAAACTTTTTTACTTCTATCCAGGGACATTTCTTTTACAGAATATACATTACTTATAAGAATTCCAATAATAAAAAAATAGAGTTCTGAGTAATAATTAAAAAGAACTTCAATTAAATTTTTTAGCGATGAAACCTAGAACGCTGAATCAGAGAAGAGAACACAAGAAGATTGTAATTCGGGGTCATTGCTTACAAGGGTTTGGTTTGTATTTATTTCAAAAAGTTTCATGTTCACGAATATAAAAATAATTTTTTTACTTTTTAATCTTCTTTTATTTTATAAAAGTCTAATAGAGAATTTTTATGTAACAGATGTGGTTTTTAATATACATCCGACATATGGACATTTAAAAAATAAACAATAATAATTTTATTATTCTTTCACGTATTAAATTTATGTATCAAAATTTATTTCGCATACGCTTAGAACATACACATTATAAAAGTACATTAATTTATTTCCCAATTAGTGAAGATTTGGGAAATGCATTCCCAAATGGTGAAGGTGTGTCTGACAATGTGCAAGGTGGTCAGATTTGATGCTTAACAACACTGGTAGTACCGTTAATTTATTTTTTTTAGATTCACGGTAGAGCCAGTACCGTTAATCCTTGGGTTATTTATAAATATGAAATGTAATACTCCCTCCGTCCCCAATTTGATTACAAATTGCGGGTTAGAAGTAAAAAATTTTACTTTTTTGAAATAATTTTATTTACCAATTGGTATATCAATAAGATATAAAAATTACATAGTAAAATTTCCTATTTTTTTGTTAGGTGGATTGTATGGTGTAGGATGGTTAGTGGTAATAGATGTGATTTTTTTGTTAGGTGCATTGTATGGTGTATGATGGTTCACGTGTTAGATTAGATTTTTTATTAGATAAAAGCATTAAATTTGAACATTAATAAAATTTGAACATTAATAGAATTTTTATTCATTTGATGCTCTACTACTGAAATTAAAAAGCATACAAATAAAACTTGTCGTACATATTTAAAAATCCCACATTGAAATTTATAATTTAACTAAGTACTCCGACGATGTCTTCGTGCTCGCATATCCATATTATTTGTGAAGCGAGTGCTCACTGGCCGACCGGCCTGCGACCTTTGCCCTATAAATGGATGGACTAATTCATAACCAAGGGTAGGCCATTCAATTTCGTTTTCTAGTGGCATAACACTTCCAGAATATGCATCGAGGTAATTCTGAAGTGAGAACACTCGTGGAATAAGATCATCAACAGTAATGTTGCAATAACGACATACGGCGTAAACATGCACACATGGCATGTGCAATGTGGCCCATTTCCCGCAACTGCACATTTTTTGGCCCAGATGCACGACAATCTCATCTAATCTACCGGTAGCTCCAGCGTTGCCCTCAACAACGACCCGATAAATCCCTTGTTGCGGATGATGTGGGATAACATGGCAATGTAAACGATGGTCTTCCATGCGTCTCACCTCGTTCCAAATATATTTTGGGAACTTAAATCCCGCTTGTAGCCATGTAAATCCGTTTGTACGCCTTTCTGCAAATAATTTTACTAATCGCTCGTACGTCGTCTTCACAATGGCGTATACCGGAAGAGATCGGCATCCCTTAAGCACATGATTGTAGCTTTCCGAAAGATTAGTGGTCAGGATTCCATATCTAGCCCCACCATCGGAACAAAGTGCCCACTTCTCTAATGGCAAAGCCAACAACTAGTTATATGCCTCCTCCCTTTGTGACTTAATTTGTTGCATTGTTCTATTGAATTCAGAGACATCTGGGGTACTGGCTGCATGATACATCAAGCCCTTCAGTTTTTTGCTATTGAACTTCTTTTGAAAATTACTTCTCAAGTGGCGCAGGTAATATCTCATGGTGACACACTGTTCCAATAATTGGGGGATAGTATTGAAAGCTAATCAATGCCCTCGTGCCTATCAGAAATGATGCACACCGACATATCGTAAGGTACTACATAATGCATTAAATGCATCATGAACCAGCTCCAACTATCCCCGTCTTCTTTGTCAACAAGGGAATAGGCTAAGGGGTAAATCTCGTGATTTGCTGTCATTGTTACTGCCTACAACAACACCCCCTTATATTTTCCATACAAGTGGGTGCCATCAACAGAGATCACGGGAAAACAGTACTTGAACCCATCTATAGACGCTTTGAAAGACCAGAAAACGTACATGAACTGAAAAGTTTGTGGCGTTGTTGTTGGCCGCATTTGTATTTCGGCCACTGACCTAGGATTGCTTTGAATCAACGCTGCTAATAGAGGCAATAACTTGTTATACGAATCCTCCCAGGATCCGTACAATCGTTGAATGGCATTCGACTTAGCCAACCAACATTTCTTATACGACACAGAAACTTGAAATAAGTCGTATATATCTTTACTGATGTACCTCACCTTGTAATCAGCATCAGCAGCAATTTTAGAGAATATAATTCCAGAGATGAGCTTGCTTGTAATAAGCTTATCGTCCTTCTCTTTCGAAAAGTCTGGTCTGCATAAATGTTGACTTCTACACTGTTTGACAGTCCAAACAGATGCAACCTCTGCAGCCTGGATGAGCCATGGACATTGTTCCGGATACGAGCACTTCGCCAGCCAATAATTGCGACACTTTGAAGAAGTCTGAAAGTGCCTATGCTCTGCAATATTGCGTAGCGCCACTGCAAATTGAAGGCTTTTGAAATCACCGTACCGATATCCAATCTGAATTTTAGGGATACAGAATGTTGGTTGTAGTGAGACTTCTTCAACGTGCCTAGGGATCGGAAATTCTGGAATTCCTTGTTCAGCAACGTTAATAGGCTCCTCTGTGTACACGTCCGGTGTGTACATAGAGACACATCCAGATACTTCAGACTCATCTGAAGAACTCTCTTGATCAGAAATAGCAACGTATGTCAGATCCTCAGAGTCATCTTCATCATCCATGTCTCGTGCCGTGTTAGACGGCCCCGCCTCATCAACTTGGTGGTGGTGATGAACTTGGTGGTGATGAGCTTGGTGGTTTTGCCCTTCCTCCATTTCTTCTTCCTCGTTAGCCAACACTTCAACTTGGTGTGAATCTAGGTAAACCTCAAGTTCATCGTATTCCTTCGTTGCCTTTTGAACGAAACACCTCCATGTTCGCTCCTCAGAAATGGGGAAAGGGCGTGAAGCGGCATAAACTCCATCTTTGTATTTGGGATATTTTCCCCAAATGTTTTTTATGGAATTGAGATGATCTTCACCAATAGCATCAAGGAGTTCATTGAAGACCTCCTCGAATGAGATATCAAGATCAAAAACAAAGGCCTTGTTTGAATGCAATGAGTACTCCACCTCATTGTTATTGATCATTATCTCACCGTTCCAATGGGCTAGCAAGACAAAACTACTATCAGAGGCCATTTTTTTGGTAAGAAGTTGTGAGAGAAGTGAGTAGATATGTGAGATATTTGCTCGGTGGTGAGATTGTGAGAGTTAAACAAGAAATATATAGATGATATATTTGTTTAGTTAGGTGGATTGTATGGTGCAGGATTGTGTGTAGTGTAATGTGAGATATTTTTTTAGTTGGGTGGATTGTATGGTGCAAGATTGTTTGTAGTGTAATGTGAGATATTTGTTTAGTTAGGTGGATTGTATGATGCAGGATTGTGTGTAGTGTAATGTGAGATATTTTTTTAGTTGGGTGGATTGTATGGTGCAAGATTGTTTGTAGTGTAATGTGAGATATTTGTTTAGTTGGGTGGATTGTATGGTGCATGATTGTGTGTAGTGTAATGTGAGATATTTTTTTAGTTGGGTGGATTGTATGGTGCAGGATTGTTTGTAGTGTAATGTGAGATATTCTTTTTAGTTTGGTGGATTGTACGGTGCAGAATGGTGGTGTTAGATGAGATTTTTTGTTAGGTGGATTATATGGTGTATGATGGTTAGTAGTATTAGATGAGATATTTTTTTTGTTAGGTGGATTATATGGTGTAGATAGAAGAGGGCTGTGACAATATTTTTTAACAATATTTTTTTGTAGTGGATATGCATTAACAAATTTTTTAGGTGTAGATCGGATGGATATGCGTTAAGAATATTTTTTTAAGTTAACGGTACTGCCAGTACCGTTAACCTATTTTTAATTAAATTTTTTTAAACTAACGGTACAGCCAGTACCGTTAACCTTTTTTAAATTAATTTTTTTTAATATAACGATACTGGTTGTACCGTTCATTCCTAACAGCACTGATCGAGAATTTTTTTTCTTTTCTTTACTGAACGGGAATTAATTCTTAAAAGAATTCTAATGAAGGCAGGAGTTGGGAGCAATTTTGGCCGCGGGTCAGAGTAAATATGGGCCTAAAGAATTGTAGAGAAAATCTCTCACTCCCATCCGTAGACGACGACGACGCATGAGCCGTTTGAGGTTCAAACTTTTGTCTCGTAACGTACACGAGAATCCGTCAGCTGCCGTTACAGAGACGTCAATCCCTCGCCCATCTAAAAACCCCAAAGCTCCAACGGCGCACCGAACGGCACCGTCGGTGACCTCAATATCTATTCGTTATATACAAAAAAACAACAACAAACCCTTTTCAATCGAAGGATTTATTTACTCTCTCTTTCGTTCAACGGGCAAAGGTTTTCTTTCTTTTTTCCTCTCCTCAACGGAAGCTCAATCTTTCCGGCGGTCTCTCTCTAGAGGTTTCTCAGGGTTCCGGTGAGTTCCAGCTCGATTCCCGCCAATATTCTTTCGCCTGAGGTTACCCCGTCATCGAATTCTTTGAAAATTTGTTCTTGAATTTCATGGCTCCGTCTGATTTACAGGAAGTACTGTATTATCTAGCTGAGTCCGCCCAGTTAATAAAGGTTTCGGTTTGTTTGAATATATTGATTTGATTAGTTTGAATTGCCTGCGGGGATATTTTCGTCAATAGTTTGGGGCTCGTGATTGGTTTGTGTGTGGTTTTGGTCTGGTTGAATTAGTCTTTGATCTGATACCAGTTTCTGAGATCTGAGTTTCGCTTGATCCGTCAGAAACGCAATTGATTTGGTGTGCCTTGCTTGTAATTAGGGTTTTGATGCTTTGGTGATTTTTGGGGGTTCATTGTTATAGAGGAATTGGCCTGCTGAAGTTTGTTGCCCTTGTTGATTGTAATATTGCGATTCGGAAGCCAAGGGGAGCACAATATGGGTGAAGAGAAAGCAGATGATTGTTTCCATGAGAATAAGCAATCGATAGCTGCATCGAGCTCTTCCATTTCCGAGAACAGCGGCAGTGTTAATCTTAAGTCGCCGGGAATACCTAGCACCACCCCTTCTTCGCCCGTGCAGCGGTACAGTTGTTATCCATTCAGATTTTTTTTCCTCTGATTGAAGTCTATTCGTATGTTCTTGGTACACAATACTTCATTGTTTTGAGAAAAGTTTCGGAGATGATCTGAAATAGAAGGATGATCTTACGATAATAATGTGAGATCATCAATATATAAACCTTACAAAACCTAAAAAATTTATATTTTTTGTGTTTTATGCGTATTGAAAAGCGATGTAAAAATTTATATCTACTTGTCATGGATGAAGTATTCTCACTGCACACACATGCCTTTCCTCCCTCTTTTTTTAATAATCTACATGCAGAGGAGGTTCAATATTGTTCTCCGTGCTCCTGTATGCTAGTTATTTATGTGATTTGAGCAATTCATGATATGAGCAGTTCAACAATCATCCTATATACCCACTTTAACCAATAAAAATAGTCCCCTTTTATCAAGGTACAACTTTTAAAATTTGAGTAAGGTACAATCATTATAAAACATGAAAGTTAGCTTGTTTACATTAAATAGGACTTTTTTTGGGATAAAATCATGTCAAAATGGACTCTTTTCATGGGACAGAGGGAGTAACTTATTTCTTGTTTAGAGAGTAGCACATGAATGTGAAATCAATGTATTTTTGTATTTCTTTCAATCAAAATTCCTAGATTTGCTTTGCACTAAATGTTTAATGATATAATTTTCATAATGTGAGATCTACTCTCGCAGGAGAACAAGTGGCCCTATTAGACGAGCAAAGGGTGGCTGGACGCCTGAGGAGGTAAGTAGTTGGTTTTTGATGATCATATGATGCTTTCATAATCTGAATTCAGTTTGAAAGTGAACCCTTTATTAAAGCATGCTGGTAGATTTTCCCTCAAGTGTATAAATATACTGTATGGAGGCTATAAACAAATATAATATCCACAGGACGATACACTAAAGCAAGCTGTTGCAGCTTACCGGGGGAAGTGTTGGAAGAAAATTGGTACTTTTTTCTCCCAAGTAGTTTATTGAACTCCCAAAAATTTCTAATATGTATGTGGAAATCATTGTGTCTGGTGATATAAGAGCGTAACCTGATAAAGGGATTTGCTTGCAGCTGAATTTTTTCCTGATAGATCAGAAGTACAATGCCTACATCGATGGCAGAAGGTTCTAAATCCCGATCTTATAAAAGGGCCATGGACTCAGGAGGTTGGTTCTAAGCTTTTTCTTCATTCGTGCATTGATATTTATATTCCTATATAAATGAATTTAGAACTGCTTTAAGTGATTTGTCAGAGCTGCAAATAATAGACATGTTTCCATTCCAGGAAGATGAAAAGATCGTTGAACTTGTAGGGAAGTATGGGCCTGCAAAGTGGTCTCTCATTGCCAAGTCATTGCCTGGTCGAATAGGAAAGCAATGCCGTGAAAGGTAATTTTATTTCTTAATCACATATTTCTTGTAAAAGTTATCTTCGATTGATTATTTTTATCAATTACCTTTAACATACGGTCTTTCCGTTCAAACTTCAAAAGCCTTGTAACTTTCTCAGTTTATTTTTAAAAATATATATTTTGCTATGTATTTTATTCAGGTGGCACAATCATTTGAATCCAAGTATAAAGAAAGAGGCGTGGACATTAGAGGAGGAGCTAGCTCTTATAAATGCACATCGAGTCCATGGGAATAAATGGGCTGAAATAGCAAAGGTCTTAGCCGGAAGGTAATCTGTTGCATACAATTGGAGTTTTTTTTTTTAAATGAGGAAAAGAATAGTTGCTGCTATTATCACTAGAGTAGAGGCTTTTGATTCCATGCTGGCAATTTTGACATCAAACTGTTAGAATCCATCTGCAATTCTTGATCCAAACATTTCTTGTTTTTTGGATGAGATAAATATAAATTAACTCATTCCTTCATATTAAACTGATTCTCAGGCCTTGTTCTTGTGTTGGAAAAATTAACTTCCACCTTTTCCAACTCCAACTCCTTCCAACTCCTAGTTTCTTCCAACTACTCAATTCTCTCTATCACCGTTTGAAATCAATTTGCAGTTAAAACTTAGTAGGTGAATGTTCTATAAAGCAATAAGTTCGCTTATATAAACCGGGAGTAATTTCTCCAGTCCTGACTTGGAGGTCATTTCTTCAACCTTTATTTATCTATCTACATGAACTTAATTTTAAATGCATTAAATTTCACCCAAAAAAAAAGAGTTATTTAGTTTCAAGTAAAACTTTGATTGGTGTCTTTTGATTTTTCTTACCACATACATCGTACACATTATATTTAATTTTTCTATGAAGTTATAAATATTGATTCATTGATAAATGAAAAATTGATCAGTCACCAAATAACATCTTCAAATGATTTTTTTTCTTCAGACCCCTTGGGTATGCGTTAATCCACGTTTAAATGTAGCTATTTATTAGAATATTTTGAAGTCCCAAGAAATCCACAATAAGATTTGTGCCCATGCAGGACTGACAATGCTATCAAGAACCACTGGAATAGCTCTTTGAAGAAAAAGTTAGATTTCTACTTGGCCACAGGAAACCTACCACCTCCTTCCAAGAATGACCTCCAGAATACTTGTAAAGATGAACCCATCAAAACCACTTCGAGAGAAAAGGGCTTTGAATGTTGTTTGAGCAAGCCATCTGATTCAACGGAGCTAGCAGCTTCATCAGGAACCACAGATGTTTGTAAAACAGTAGTAGATACAGAACAGGTCTGTGCAGAACGCACAACCGCAGAGGACATGGCTGCTTCAACCAGTAGTCCTCAAATTGATTCTGCTGATTCTGAAGATGTACGGCCATGCGAGGCCAAATCAAATTCCACACCAAAACTAATTAGACCCCAAGCTTTTAGTTCTATTACACACGTTACGTATGGTAACTTATGCTATGAACCCCCACGGTTAGAAAGTATCATTCCACTGGATTCAGATTTCCTCAATCCTTTTCCAACCCCACCCAGTGAGAAGCATAGAAGTTTATGTCTGCAGACCCCAGAGTCCATATTGAAAATTGCTGCCCAGAGCTTCCGGAATACCCCATCTATTTTAAGAAAGAGGAAGAGTGGGTCCCAGTCATCCACGCCACTCGGGAAGGCTGGCGATGACGGTGTTGCTGGTGGATTAGGAGATGAAATCCAACTAAGAAACAATCCAAGACCTTTCAACGGATCTCCTCCTTACCGAATAATAAGATCCAAACGGACTTCTGTGATCAAGTCTGTGGAAAAGCAGCTTGAGTTTGGCCCCAACAAAGAGCAGGATGAGGATAACTGCTGCACCAACACATCCAGCAGATCAACTGTGGAACACCTCTCTCCTGCAACCAAAGCTATGTCAAATGGAGCATCATAGTTTGGACCACTGTAAGTACATTTCTTTTGATTCCAGCTTCATTCGTGTTCTTCTCCTGTGGATCATAGTTTCGACCACTGTTAGTCTTTGATATCCTCCAAGAGAGGGAAACCAATTACTTGTCCTGTTCTTCTACAGATTAGAAGTGAAAAAGGCAGTGAAGTTTCAGACTTAGCAAGTCATGGCCCACGCTATACGATTTGAAGATTCTTTCTTCATTAAGCAGCAAGGTTTTATACGTCCACTTCATGCATCAATGCGTTTTGATTTGTTTCTGGCAGTCGCATTGGATTTGTACATAAACGCGGTGCACGTTTGGTAAGTGTTACTCAGTAGTATTTAGTTGAAATGAACGATTATTTATTTCAATTTTTGAAAGGGGAAGACACATGGTAAAGATGATTTTAGGCGGAAAATATCACCTGATTAGTTTTTTAGTGTCAGTAATTTCTTCATTCAGTCCGTGTATTTAGAATGATGGGAACGTAACCAATAATTCAAAATTACGAAGTACGTATTCAATAATTTGCAGAGGCCGGATTTGCGGCGATTAACACAGTGACAAACTACAACCTCTCTTCTTTAGAGGCGAGAAAATTAGGGAAGGATTTTCATTTTTCTTCTTTTGAATTCTACGAACCAAACATAATTTTAATATTTCACTTTCTTTATAGATTTTGATTTCATTTGTCCGTCGTAGGCTCCTACCTCAAACCGCACTCTGATCCATCGTTCCCAAAATGGCTGGTGATGCATCAGATTAGTAGGTGGAGTAGAAGAGTTTGGCGTATTTTTAGAAAGTCAACACAAAATATGCACTTTCTTAAAAATGAGCTTTGGTCAAATTAGGAAGAAAATTCCCGGACATGCGTAATAGAATAAATATTCAATATATTTTGTTTGTTCAACTACAAGGAGCTTTTCTTCATAAATCATGTTAATATTTTGTCAATCTCGTAATGCCTCCTCAAGTTGAGGCATGGAGATTGCGAACTACAATGTCTAACTTGCACATTACGTAATTATATATTGGCAATATTGCTGTCCAAGCACTATCTAGACATTCCAACAAACATTTTTTTTCCAACGTCAATCTTTTCGAATCTGTTGAGTAATCGATCGAACAAAGGAGCACCATTCTTTGTAACCTTTAGTCCTTCAAACGAACATGGGGAACACTCTGTGTTATTCTTTTCGAACACTCTAAACGTCAAATTTTTAATCTCCCTTCAAAGTAAAGAATTGTCTGCCTCTGTAAGACAAATCTAAGACAAATCTTGTCAGATGGGTTTTCATGATTGGTGAATGGTGATTGCGCTTCTTCAGTGGCCATGTTCTCCGATGAAGCATCCCCTGTGATTTCACGAGGAAGAGATTTCGATCAGGAAATCATCAAAAGCTTACGATATCTCTTGTAGACATTGTATTACGTATATCCACTAACATGGAATAAGAACGTGTTTGATGACTCAAGGATTGAAACTTCGAGGGATACTCACCTAAGTTCGATCTTTAGCAAAGCTAATGTCCACTTTACATTATCAAATCGAGAAAATATGAACATATACCATAATTATAATGGAGTCAATAACACTTTAAAAATAATACGGAGTATGTGATATTTCAAACATTGCTCAAAACAGAATAACAATTTTGGGACAGGAAAGGTAATTTTTTATCCTCTCTCCGCGTAAAAAAGAATGTCACATTTCCTTTTTCAACCGTTATAGGAAATTTTATTTATTTGTACATTTTCATTGAGTATTTGGTAAAATAAAATATTCTTGACACCTTTTATTTCGAAGAATTTTTCATGTAGTTTTTAAATATGTAAATTTAATTTTTTATTCCTATACCAATACTTAAATAAAATGAATTGAAAAAACTTGATATTTTATCTAATTCTGCGAAATATAGCAAATATTTTGGGATGAGGAATAACTATTGGTGTAAGATTAGTCCCCAAGCATGTCCCACATGGCTATAGGTATCTCATCCCTCCAACCATGCTAGAGATAAACCAAAAAGTGTACCCACATTATACTCTAAAGAAATATACCAATATTTTAACAGTTTACACTGACATAAAATATTAGTTCAATAAAAAAATTTGTACTGACATTTTTTATCAATAAAAAATCATCACACTAACATAAAATCTCAGTGTATGTTTTGGGATACAAAATATGTACTCCCTCCGTCCGAAATTATTTGCAACGTTTGCTTTTTCAGCAGTCGCGGGAATTTTTGTTTATTTCTACGTTTTCATTGGTTATTTGATAAAATAAAATATTCTTGACACCTCTTATTTCGAAGAACTTTTCATGTAGTTTTTGATATGTAAATTTTATTTTTTATTTCTTTATCAATATGTAAATAAAATGAATTGAAAAAACTTAATATTTTACTTCGAGAATACAAGTGTAACAAATATTTAGGGATGAAGGGAGTATAATGTACAAGTTTTGGTGTACATATATAACTTAATCTCTCGTCCCTCCCTACTCTGTGGGGAAATGATATGATGGTTCCCTAATCCCTACTGTACTTCAACCCCTCCCGTCACATATTTTTTGTCCTCCTCCCCTTAACTGTGCATCTGATTCACCCACAGAAAGAAAGAAAGAAAGAAAAAGAAGAACAGCACCCGTGTTTCCAGAACCGGAGGCTCTGATCACGCAATCTCGACCCTTCATTTCATCACACCCAACATGCTCCCTTCCTTTTATCATTAACCAACGGTTGACTTTTTCGGATAATTAATTTTTTTTTTTAAAAAAAGAATGAATGAATTGGGATATGATTAGGGAGATGCTAGGGGTACACCAAAAGTGTACCCCATTTGTCCCCCACCCCCTCCATAACCACTCATTTGGATTTGATTTTTATTTACTTATTTTGTTTTAATTTTCTTGCTTATTTGAGTAGTTATGGAGGAGGTGGGGGACAAATGGGGTACATCTTTGCTGTTCCCTTAGCATTTTCCATATGATTATGTTCAAACTTTTCTTTATGCCAAATACAGTTAGAGAGGCTGGTGGGCTTCTTTTGATAACAAAAAAAGGTAACGCTATTGTTACCCTCCAACAAATATACTCCATTTTTTACACTTGTAAAACATTGGTATGCACTATTGATAGTGTATTTCACTGGCATTCTGTGCTAGTCTATATCAGGGTAAAGCACACCGATGTACAAAATGATGTGCGCTAGCGGGTGCAAGTAGCACAACCGACAAAAAAATGTTGTCATATTATGACAACAATGACTATAATACTCCGTTTGAAAAATTGATGATGGAGATTTAAAGTGAGTTAGAAGGTAAGAACCATCAATTTTTCAAACGAAATACTGTAACCATTATTGTCCCAATATGACAACAAAACTTGTTGTGAGAGACAATTAATTAAGAATGAAATGACTATATTATAGTACTCCTTCCATTTCATATTAACTGTATAGGTGGACTGACATTTGGGAGAAGTGTAAGTGCATTTCATTTTTTTTTTAGGGCAAAGTGAGATTTCCCCATGAGGGTACTAATCCGGGGGAATTTCAAGAAAATGAATGGCGGAAGTATATGCACATTGCACTGCAAACAGAAACTAATTCCAACAAAATAATTGCAGTTTATTTTCCACACCTCAATTTACTTTTCCAAACAACATTTCAACAGAGGGTCGAAACTGAAACAGCACATTCTACATTGGACCTTTTTCAGCATATCTTCCTGGAAAATCTACAGGGGATTCGCCTCCCTCGGCGGGGGACACCCCAACTGCTCAAGAAACTTACTGAGACGCATGTGTTTGGATGCCCATTGCTCGCTCAATTTCTGCTCCTTTGCTTCGGCGTCCCTCCTCAGAACAGCCAGCTGTTCTCTATATTCGCCTTCAATCCTGTCTAGAGCAATCCTCTGTTCTTCCAGCAATGCTTTGATCTTCGAATCGATTTCCTCCCTCTTCTCCCTGATTTTGGACGCCTTCTCTGATTCCAGTTGCAATTCCACCCTCTTCAACCTCCAGGCTGCTTCTTTTTTATGCGCCGTCCAAGCGTGGTGCCCTTCTCCCACGTTTCTACAGCATTCTAAGAGTTCAGCAACCAACGGGTTGCTGTCTGGGTGATGAGCTGGAAGCCCGGTGGGCATTGGGTCGGACTGTAGCCATGGGATTACAGGAGAGGGTTGCTGTGAGGTGGATGGGCAAAGACTTAAGGCAACTGATGGGGTTTGGGGTCTAACTGCAGATGAGGTGGTTGGATTAGACAGCCAGGGAGGAAGAAGGTTTTGTGAGGGATCAGACTGGAGGAATCCACTTCCTCTTGAACTACTGGCCATTATCAAGTTAAGGGTTCCTTTTTTTTGGCTCCTGGTTTAAGGTAGTTTTTTCGCCTCTCCAAACAGGACCTTGGTTAGTGTCTAAAGTTGGGTGTGGTGCTCATACGCTGGGGCACAAGAGCGACATCCCTTCGGCCCAATCTGTTTCACATGTGCACACAATCTTCAAAATGATTTCCCACAAACAATATACATATGGAATGAGCAGGAGATTTCATGATACTTTGGCTTCAATTGCTTGAATAAACAGAATCTAAACCTCTAGAGAGACTTTCAATTACCCAAAAACAGAATTTTCACAAGTCAAAATGACACGGATACCGTTTCAAGAAGGAAAACTACAATCATAGAAGGTTAAACACATGAGAACCAATGTAGCAATTGCATGCTTATAGAAACTAAAAATGTCCTAATTTAAAAGGTTCGTTTTAGCTATGTGTTTCTAAATGCACAGTCAAATCATTACCAATAAAGGATCTTCAACAGATTAGTAATAGACAAGAAAATGGAAAGATCCTTGATTTTATTAGATAAGAAAATTGCACATTCTGCTTGCTTGCTGCTTAATACTGTAATCTTCTTGCTCAGCTCATAACTCATAAGCTACTTATATGAATTTTTTCTAAAACTGTAATTTGACTAATTAGTTAAACATAGAAGTTACTAAGAACTTGCACATAACAAAAGGAAAGCTGTAATTTTTTACTGAAAAGATGATGATAACATTGCAATTTGCCTTCCAAGTGCTATAAACCCAGGGAAATGGACTATGTTGGTGGCAGATTAGGATTAAAGGTTGAAAAGATCTTCTTTAACCAAGCCTTGAAAGTAAAATAACAGGTCGAGACCCAAATCTGAGTTTTTTTCGTTGCTCGAACCTGCACCTGTCTCGCTGAACGCCGTTCGCCACCGTCCTCCGTCGCCGTGCCTCGCCGGGCCGGCCACTGATTAAATTCCTCTATCCATCCTTGATTGAGCTGAGATCTTCAAATGCTTAGGGTTTAAGAGTTTCCTTTTTGAATGACAAGAAGAGATTACTGAATTACTGGGAACTACGGGCATGTATGTACAGATCTGGTAGGATCTTTCTGAATGACAAGAGATTACTGAATTACTGGGAACTACGGCATGTATTTACAGATCTGGCAGGATTTTTATACGGAGTAATTTTTAGTGCACCAATATCCCTTTTTTGTTTAATAAATGTGTATCATTATAGTTCATGATTTCAAAATTTATATCGCTTTTCATAATTCTGATATAAGTATATCAATATGTTTCTAGATCAAAATGTTCTTTAAATAATAGGTGAATAGATGTGATGTGTCGTTCTGTGGTTTTGGAATTGGGCATTAAGTCTCCTCTCATTTTTTATTGCTTTTCTGTATTCCATTCTTTTTTTATAAATAGAAGAAAAATATTTGTGTTTGAAATAATGATAAGTTACTTTTCAAAACTATGTTTTTAAAAAAATTAAAAATAAAAGGTTGGTTTTTGAAATAAAAAATGTAATTAAAAAATTTAACATACATATTTCATTTGTTAAATTAAATATTTTTATTTTTTGTCTATTTTTTTTGATTTTTTTTGAATATGTCAGAACCAAAAAAATATCGAGTAAGATCTTTTTAATATATAGTTAACTATCTTCTCAGTCACTATTGAGATGATCAAACTTTAATCACGTTTTTTATCTATTTTCGTTAATTATTTGATATAATACTCTGTAATATAGTAATGTCATATCTTGTTTTATTCAACTTTTGATGTAGTTTTAAAATATATAATTATTATTTTTTAATTTTACATCTATATTCAAATAAATTGAATTGAAAATAATTTCAGTCAAACTTCGTAAACTGAACTGAGAAGATCATTTTAGGACGAATGGAGTATTAATAACACTTTTAGGATTGATGCGCATGAAATTTCTTTTTTGACTTAATTTTCCCTATTGTAGTATTGTATAAAAGTATTTTATATATACATTTCTTTTTTTAGCTTTCTTGTCTATTCTTTTCTCTTTTATTTTAATTTTGATTAAAATAAAAATGGTATAAAATTAATTTTTTTTAAAAAGGGACAAAAAATAAATAAAGAAATTAGAAAATGAGAAATGAGCTTTAGTGTAAAAAAAAAGTTTCATTGATTTTTATACGAAAAAAATGAACTAATAAAGACTTTTTTTGAACAAGAATGAAAATATTTAATTTGAAACAAATGAAGTGTATGTTAATTCTTTTTATATAATTGATCTTTTATGAAACCAATTACGAGGTGAATTTCGCAGACCATATAAAGATTTGCACAACTCGCACACCTTCCCTGGGATGGAGAAACTAGGGGGCAAATCATATAAACCTCCTCAATAAGATCGCTATATATTTAAATGTGTTACTCCCTCCGTCCCAGAGTATTTGTTCACTTTCATTTTTACACAGCATCCAATACACTTCTTTAATCCATTTTATCTTGTAATTTGTATATTAAAAAATTATAGAAATTATATATTAATAATCTATATGTTAAGACAAGTCAAACAAGATCACACATGACTATATTTAGGCTTACACATTGAGAGAATTTGATGAGTCAAAGTGCTTAGATGAACAGTTCCAAAAGTCAAAAGTGGACGAATATAGCGGGACGGAGGGAGTATATGTTAGTCTATATGTGCACGCCTTAGAGGAGGGATTAATAAGATGTTTATAAGCTTTTGGGATTGAATAAAATTGATGTTGGTAAACGCGGAAGCAATGTAAAATATGGAGAATTAAAAGTGTAAAATAAGTGACACATCAATTTTATACTGGTTCAGGTACTACTTAGTCTGGTGCCTTGAGACTCCTTGGTTTCTTTGGTTTACCATAGAAATGAAGGATTATGGTCTTATTTATAGTTGAATATCAAACATGTCTATTGATGACCATTTAGAGCTTATTTGGAAAGATTTTGACTTATTAAAGTAGCTAGATTAAAACCAAAATTAGAATTTTGAATAATTTTACTGTTGATATGGTAAGCACGTATTGTAACACTCCAACCTGCCTAACTCGAACTAATAGATTAGCAAATCGGGATATTACTAAATTGGTATCCACATGCAACATTTTCCAAATAAATTAAAATCATTTAATTCCAAAAATCCAAACATTACAAAATATGTCAACGTTTATCGAAGTTAATTCAAAACCGTGCGGAAGCTATAAGCTAAACTCTCATTTGATAAAAACCATACTTATATTAATACTACCTCCGTTTCTCAAAAGAGTTCCTCCTTTGACTTTGGGGGAAAATAAGGAAGTGTTAAATTGTAATTGACTTTCCAATTTTGTTCTTGATGTGATGGGTAAAAGTAAGATGTGATAGTTTAGTTGTTAGTGAAAAAGTATGATGTGATAGGTAGGGTATGAAAAAGTAGGGATAAAAGTGGTTTTTTAATAGAAAGGGGAAGTGTTTTAAGAAAAACAAAAAAAATGAAAGATGAAGAGTTTTAAGAAATGGAGGGAGTAATAGAATACATTTGTAGTTATTATTCATTTGGGTTTGTTGGAACACACTTTACAATTACGTTGTACTAAAGTGGTATTCGTTTTTTGACAGATTTTGATAAATACCAAACTGCTGAGGATATGAAAAATACACATTGAACAAACTCAAGGCGAAGAACAAATTTTGGCAAAAGATAAAGTGGAACCAAGAACCAAGACCGAAGACAAGACTTAGAACTAGAATTGAGTTGGTTTTAATGTGATCAAGACTGGCATTCAGTTCAAGTCATGGCTCTTAAAGACTAAACCTCAAAATCATTTTAATGCATCATTAAAAACACATTTCATAAATGTCTTCTTCGTTTATGCTCAATTTTATATGTATTTGGTAATTTGATTTTAGTAATATGCGTATGTTCTACCAATTTTGCAGATTTGAGGTTGAATATGTTAATATATTGAACGTTTGATTACGAATCTGTGTAATCCTATATGTGCAACGAATCATTGAGTTCTTTGTATTTTGAAGAACAACAAAAGTTTCATTAGCAGTGTATGTTATCAATTACTCGAAGACATGATAAAACACCTCTAAATTAAATATGGCTGCAGCTATGTCATCTGCTAACGTGCAGAGGATGATGGTGATGTTCACAAGACTGATCGAAGATGATGAGGACGTACAAAGATGAAGATGATGAAGATCTAGTTTATTTTCCCGTACGTATTAAGAAGAATCAGAATTTTAGCCAGCTCCATTGATGCTGGCTACAATATAATGCATGGAAGGAAAGATCATTTCTGTGCAAAAGTTCATTGAAGTTGGGGCTAATGTGACCTATCATTTCATTTATACTATCATGATTATTACTCTGGAGGTACAATTAGAAAACTTTATTATGTTGGCTGATCGCGTTAACTATTACTCCGGGGTAACTACTACGTATGTTCTTTTGGAATGTATTCTTGTCAACATTTTAAACTTTTGACCAAAATAATTTCTCATTCTAACTTTAAAAAATCATCCTAACTAGGAGTATAATATAGACAATGTATCAAAATAGGAGTTCAATGTTTTTATTGTTTAAATAGGACTTTGCTCTGTGATGATGTACATGGTCATGATCGGCAATGTAAATATATTTTAACTCCTATTTCGGGAATAAAAACATATTTTAACTTCTATTTTGTTATATTGTCAATGTTTCATTCTTACTTTAGTCATTTTCTCATCTATTTGCTTTCATTAAGCATTACATAACTTTTAAATGTGTATACACTAATAATTTTTATAATGTACGTGCATGTTCTAAGTGTATGCAAAAAAATAAATGTTCATATATCAATTCAATATATATGCAAAGAAATAATTGTATTAAAATAATATTATTTATTTTAAAAATGTGCATGTGTGAGATGTATATTAAAAACGGCCTCTATTAAGTAAAAACTCTATTTGATTTTTATAAAATAAAAAATATTTAAAAAGTAAAAAAATTATTTTAAAATTCTTGAGACATATGAAAAGCAAAATTCTGAAACCTTTTATGGGAATGAGTTGACATCTTTTATTATGCCCCTTTTTCATTTTCCCTCATTATTTTAGAATAGTAATTTTCCCTAATAAAAAATAATTGGAAATTTTTGGAAATAAAAATAATTCAAACCCTTGTGTGCACTAGCTTATCCATAATCAGAGTTTGAATAAACTGGTACCCTTTTTTATGCCCTTTTTTCTTTTTATTTCTCCTTTTATATTATAAGTCCTGGTTTTCTTTCAACTAAGACTAATAAAAAGTATTGATTTATTTGCCTTCTTATTTTTGTAACATGGATTAGTGACATGCAACTGAAAAAACGAAAAATTATATGAAGTATGATTGATATTGATTTTAAAAAGTAAAAAAAGAGTGTGAGTTACAAAAAAAGATTACAAATACAATTTGAGATAAAATATAATGACATAAAAGAAAAACTAAAAAGAGTAAAAATTTTAAAAGTAGTATATATTTTTTTAAATAAAATATGAAATTTATAAAATAACATAATTATTTTAACATTATTTTTTTAACTCTTTCAAAAATTTTCTAACTCTTTCACGTTTTTCTAACTCCTTCCAGTTTCTTACAACTTCTTCCAGATTTTCCAACTTCTTCTAGTTTTTTCAACACTTTCTAGTTTTTTCCAACTCTTAATTTCTTCCAACTCCTTCATGTTTTTCTAACATCTAACTCTGTTTTTCCAACCGAAAAGAATAGGGCCTTAAGGTCCTTACAAGTGTTTTGTATTTAATTTTTTTAATTTACGTTTACATGTATTTTCAAGCGTATAGTATACGATTCATCTTAGACTTGGTACTTCATCTTAGGTATTCTAAAACTTTTTTATGTTGTTTATGACTTATATCTTATGGTATTGGTGTGTAATGGTTCAATGTTATGTTTGGATCCCTTTATTAGTATGTTTATATATAGTATTTGGAGTATAATTAATTTTTTTTATTTTTAAATAAAAAAATTAGATGCCACTTTCCCTCCCTCTAATGAAGGAGGTTTTTAAGGGCGGAAGATTCTTCCTCTATTAAAGCGGCAGAGAAGTCACCCTTTGTTATATAGG